GTCTGAGTAGTTTATAGCAGTTGGGAATGTGGGTTAGTGTTGTGAGGGGTGATGGGGAGGCTAGGGCTCTTGTGACACTGTGTAAATTATCTGATAAAACTTATGCTAAAGTGAACCCAGAAGTGTTGGCAATTCCAGGGAAAACTGGATATGGAGCCTCTCCAAATTAGTCTGAGGCAACCAGGACAAGTGGTGTCTAAAAAGTAATACCCTCTTTCAAGGGAAGGAAGGGGTTACAGTCTGTTATTGACTTCCTGTTAAAGACGGGTCTTTTGGAGCCATGTATGTTATGTTTCCCTATAACATTTCTATCCTGCCAGTTATGAAATCAGATGGAACCTATAGAATGGTGCAGAACATAAGAATAATGAGACTACAAAACCCAGGCACTCCATGGTCCCAGATCCTTATACCATCAGGAACCAGGTTTCCTCCTCACACTGATACTATTCAGTATTTGATTTAAAAGATACTTTCTGGGGATGCCTGCTTACAAAGCACAGTGAACAGTATTTTGCCTTTGAGTGGGAACAAGAGGGAGAAGGGAAAATAATAAAGACATGGATGATCCTTCCACAGGGATATATGGAAGCACTGGTCTTATTTGGGCAAGATATTAAAAGAATTTACTCCATCCTTGGAAATTAGGTTATTGTAGTATGTGAAGGACTTGCTTCTATCAGGAGAAAGGGAGGAGGTGGTAGGAGAAGCCACTGTGAAATTACTTAATTTTCTGGCTGGAGGATGGGATCTTGGAGTGTCTGAAGGGAGGTCATAGATGTTGGAGAGAAAGGTTGAATGTTTGAGGCCTGTTTTGACTGAAGGCTTGTGGTGTGTTGGTCCAGAAGGGGTTCAGGGAATCTTGGAGGTGCCATTGCCCAGGACTGAAGGGGAGCTGTGACAATTTTTAGGATTAATAGGGTATTGCAGGACCTGGATTAAGGACTTTTTATTTTATGACTTTTTAAACCCAGATAGCCCCAGTGTTGTGGTATGGACACCAGAAAGACAGCAAAACATTAGCCAGATTCAGAAAAGGAATTGGAATTGTATGTGGATGTTAAACAGGGCTGTGCCAAAGGAATTCTAGTGCTAAAATGTTTGACCCATCAGCGAGGGGATGGCCCCATTGTTTGCTCTAAGGGTAACTGTGGCTCTGTTGTCTGCAGAATTGTGCAGCCACAGCTTTGATGGTAACTGATGGCAGGATTGTTAAAGTCTGGCATCAAGTTCTAAATGGATGACCAGCACTAGATTGTTACAGTATAAAACCTGTTTAATGGAACAGGAGTATTTGATGTTGGGAAGGGTAGATAAGTATGATTAAGAACCACAATAGTACAGCCAGGACGAATATAATGCCCCCTACTGGCTGGACAATAACCCTCACCTACAGAGGGGTCCAAAGGTCAAATGGACTGTTCCATCTCACCCCCCAGAATGTATGGTTCACCCCACACCTGTAACCCTCCCCTGAAACATCAAGTGTCTGTAACCCCATTGGCCCAAGTCCTGTTCCAGCCCACCTCGAGGCCCCCCTTGATAAGGGGTCTCCGGGGGGCCAGACGCTCTCTTGGATCTTCCCCTCTCCTCCTGGAACTTCCTCCGGGAGTCCCTGCTCCCCCCTTTATCTCTCCCCTCCCCCATCACCTCAGGCCCAGCCACGTGCTGCTACACAGCAGGAGGCAGGGCCTTTCTGCATCCTGAATAAACCTCATCCCCCAAGAGCAACCAACAGAGATCTCGCTTATATTCACCCCAAATCCGTCCGTGGAACCCCCATCAAGCGTCTTTACAATTTAGAATTTAGAAGCAGGGAAGGGTTTAACCCAGCCTCCTGTTAAACTGGTACCAAGGAAGGAGACCTAAAGGAAACTCATGACTGTATCCAGGTAACAGATCTCCAGACCCGAGCTAGGGAAAATTTACAGGATATCTCTCTGCCAAATGAGGGAAAGGAGTTTATTGATGGATCTTCAAAAGTAATAGGAGGAAAACGAGTTACTGGTTATGCTATAGTGAAAAGAGGGGAAGAAGAAGGGAAGCTACCATGCACATGGTCAGCACAGACCACAGAATTGTATGCCTTAATAAAAGCCTGAAAATTGTATCCCGGAAAGGTGGTGAATATATTTACAGATTCAAAATATGCATATGGAGTGGTACATGCATTTGGAAAACTGTGAGGAAAGAGGTTTGTTACCTTGCAGGGGAAAAACATTTGCACATGAGAGCTCAATTACTTGCCTGTTGGAGATGGTGATTTTACCAAGAGAGGTAGAAATATTACATGTTAGGGGATAATAGGCAGGGTACTCAGAAGAGGCAATAGGTAATCAACTGGCCAACGGAGAGGTTCAGAAAGCAGCATTTCTGCCAGAGGTCTCTGGGATCCTCCCTTTGCTCCCTGTGGCTCAGCTGTTGCTGGGGGGAGGGGGGAGTTGGTGGTGGTATCTTTTCCATCAGAGGAGTTGGAGATAATTAAAAGTGGTGGAGCAAAAGAAAGAGGGGAGAATTCATTTACAATGGACAGTAAACAGTGGATGCCAGGAGCTTTGACCCTGCAAATATTAAAACAACTCCATAGGGGGAGTCATTTGGGCTCTCAAGGATTGGCAGAGGCCTTCCTCAAGATGTACTGCTTTGGGTCTTTTGGTTTTAGCAAAACGAGCTATTGAGGGGTGCCTGGCTAAAGTTAATAGGAGATAATAACCTTCCATAGGAGGGTCTCCATGCTGGAACAGGGGAAGAGTGTGAGGAGTCCTTCTCTTGAGGAATGGCAGAGACAAGGTGATGGACTGACCACAACCCCTGTGCCACTGGGAGGAAGGGGGAAGAGAAAATAGGGAGTTGTTGTGGTTTCACCCCAGCCAGCAGCCAAGTCCCACGCATCCTCACTCACTCCCCCCCACCAGTGGGATCGTGGAGAGAATCAGAAGGATAAAAAGTTTGAAAACTTATGAGTTGAAATAAAGACAGTTTAATAGGGAAAGCCAAAGCCATGCATACAAGCAAAGCAAAACAAGGAATTCATTCATCCTTTCCCATGGGCAGGCAGGTGCTTAGCCATCTCCAGAGAGCAGGGCTCCATCGTGTGCAATGGTTACTTGGAAAGACAAATGCCATCACTCCAAACATCCCCTCCCTTCTTCCTTCTTCCCTCAGCTTTATATACTGAGCATGATGTCATATGGTCTGGAATATCCCTTTGGTCAGTTTGGGTCACCTGTCCCAGCTGTGTCTCCTTCCAACCTCCCATGCACCCCCAACTTCCTCACCAGTGTGGCAGTATGAAAAGCAGAAAAGGCCTTGACTGTGTATAAGCACTGCTCAGTAACAACAAAAATATCTCTACATTATCAACACTGTGTTCAATACAAATCCAAAACACAGCCCCATATCAGCCACTGGGGAGAAAACAAACTCTACCCCAGCCAGAACCAGCACAGGAGTGAAGTTGAGCCTGGGAAGAAGGAAGGGGTTAGAGGGAAGGTGTTTTAAGATTTAGTTTTATTTCTCATTACCCTATTCTAATTTATTGGTAATATATTAATTCAATTTCCCTAAGCTGAGTCTGTTTTGCTCATGACAGTAATTGCTGAGTGAGCTCCCTATCCTTATCTCAGCTCATGAGCTTTTTGTTATATTTTCTCTCCCCTGTCCAGCTAATAAGGAGGAGTGACAGAGAAGCTTTGGTGGGTGCCTGGCATCCACCACAAAGGAATACAGCAAAACCAAAACTTAAAACGTGTAATTCCATCAACACGGCCTTATGCCTGGTACAACAGTAACACACATACTAGCTGTTGCATCTCTATGACCTCAACTACATCCATAAGTTAAAATGCTCAGAAACAATTCTAGGTACTTAAGCCAACTGCAGTGGAATAATCTATGCCCACACCATTCACAATAAGTCCCATGCCAACTTTTAGATATGATCCCTGATGCATGTCAACATCCAAAGCACATCTAAGAACCATTTAGGAGAATGCTATCTGTTATCAGCCAGAACTGTACTGCAGATCAGTACTACAATTTTGCAATCCTGTTCTAGCAAACAGGAATAGTCCCTGTCACTGCTTTATCTACTGATAGAGATGCATTCTACAAAGAGAGAATCAAAAACCAAGATAATACTTTTATACTGGGCCTGGCTAGGACAGAGTTAATTTTCTTCAGGGCAGCTCATATGGAGCAGTTTTACATTTTTGACCAAAATAGTACTGATAGTAGACTAATATTATAGCTTTTTCTGAATGATGTTTATACAGCATCAAGGCTGCCTCTGTTTTTCACTCTGCACCGCACCCCCCCCCCCCCCCCCCCCCCCACTCGTCTGCCAAAGAATAGACTGAGGGTGAGCAATAGTTTGGGATTAGACAAAACAGGGCAGATGACCCAAGGTAACCAAAGAGATATTCCATAACATATAAAGCCATGCTCAGCAATAAAAGGGAAAAGAGGGAGGTTCTATGGGTGTCAGCCATCTTTTGTTCAGGAATTGGCTGGGCATCAGTCTACACATGGGAGGTAATATGATTGCATCACTTGTTTAGATCTATTACATTTATCCTTTACTTATTAAACATTTATATATTTTTGTTTATCTTGACCCCCAAATTTTCTTTTTTTTATTCTTTCTTTCTTCTTTCCCCATCCTACTGAGGGTGAAGAGGAAAGTGAGCAAGTGACTGTGATGCTTTATCTGCTGAACAGGGTTAACCCACAACAGTTTTCTTTATGAAACACTTTAACATTCACTTTCTCTCTTTTTTTTTTCTTTTGTTTTACTTTGAAACAAGATCTTGGGAATAAACATTGTCTAATCTTTAAGCGTGAGAACTGTATGCTGGCTGCCTTAGGGAGAAAGTCAATTGATATGATTAACATGATTTCACACAGTGTTCAAATGACTTAATATTTTGCTAAATTAGGCACTAAAGTAAGTTTATGCCTATTATTACATAAAGTATGAATTCAGTCTGAAGCATAGTCACCTGAGATGATATTAAACATCCTTGGGTTCAGGATAGCAGGACAAATCAGTCGAAGAAAAACAAAGCCACTGAAATGGGAAAAAAAAAGAAATTTTATTTTGTTCAATATTAAATCTACCATAAAATTAATGTAAAATTATGTAGTCTTTAGGTATTTAAGTCAGTGTGGAAATCTTTGTGAGATGACAACCAGCCTGTGTTCCATGTTTTTAATTAAAAAGTCTTGTTATGATTTCAGTTATGACAAAAAACAAAATAAAACCAGACATATTGATTTCCCAGTTAAGGTGAACTTCCAAACCTACCTGGGAAAAGCTTAACTGTAAAGCCATACTGGAGTCTGCAGTCTAAGACCACACTGCCTTTAAAAAGGAGGAGCACTTAATCTCCTGCCTCCTACAAGTGTTGCACTGTCTACTTGTCATGGTTTGACACTGGCACGATGCCAGTGCCCCCTATGCAAATGCAATTTCTTAACTGAATGCTGTGAAATGTGATTGAGAACAGAGTAAAGCAGGCTCAAGCTTAATAACAAGAAAAAAACTTTATTAAACTACTACTACTATGCTACTATAAAAGAGGGAAAAAAAAAAAAAGAAACACACACAATTCAAAATGAAAACCTTCTAAAGCATTCTTCTTCCTACTACCTAACTCTAACAAACTACAGTGAGACACAATCTGGACTCTAATTAGGTTTCTACCCTCTAGATAATCAACACCCAGTCTATTTGCAGGGAGAGAGGAGTCTCTCTTGTGCTACAGACCCCCCAAGAAACACAGCTGCTACATTTTGTGCTTCCATGTCACCACATGGCACCGCCTGGAGAAAAAGTTTGCCAGTGGTGACCCTCTCTTTTTCATGCACAGTGCTCTCACTACTAATAAATGGATGGACAGACTGCTTTTAGGATTTTTTCTTTTAAGGATGCCCTGCTAAGAGGGGAAAAAACAACAGTTCAGTTTTTCATTTTTGGGACTAACAGTCCCCCCCCCATTTTCCTCTGGGGCTGAGGGTCTAAGAATAGAGATCTTCTTCTCCTTTTCCTCTGCAAAGACAGGGGGCACTACTACAAACTTCCTTTACTTTTCTCTGTTTGCTCCACTTTTGTCTTTTCTTAGCTGAAGCATGGTCTCTTTAGCTCACTGGCATCTTCCTAAAATACAGTCTCTTGGAGGAGAAGATCAGTTCAGTCTGTAGCTACTAAGAAAAAGTCTAGCCAAAAGCCACTCCATCATCTCCTCCCACCTAGAATTTCTCCTTCCAACATCCCAGGTCCCAGGCTGTTTCTCTTCCTCTCTTTTTCAAACTAAGGAGGAGAAAAATTTCACAAAGCTTTCATTTCTCAGGAAGGGTTAAAAGTCCCGACTTACAGAGATAGCTTGCTGCCCAGGCTCCGGCTCCCACAGGCAGCTGGACACCTTGCGGCCCCCCCGCTCTTCTCCTTCCCTGTGGTTAACTGCTGACAAAACTGCTGCTGTCTCTTTCTCTCTCTCCCTCTCTCTCGACTCTGGTGGGGGGGGGGGGGGGACGACGGGGGACGGAGACATCCCAGATTTCTCCACCCTTCCATCTGCAGGGGGCCAGGCTCGGTTCCAGTCCCTCCACCCTTGGGCCTACCTCTGAAAGCTACATGGCTTCTCCCCTCCCCCACCCAGCTCATGGCCGGACAGGGGAGAGTCCTGCACTAACCGCTGACCAGAACCTAAGAAAGCAAGTTTTCCTAAGAATTCTGCTTTTAACCCCTCTGTGTTCTCAGAGGCGTGTCTACCTTCAATTAGTCAATGTCCAAATTAACCTCTTCCTTCCAGAAAAATTCTTTTTCCGTGTCAAACCACGACACTACTACCACAAGTAATTCATCCTACAGCCACTCATTTCCCCAAGCCAACATAAGGAGATCAAGAGTGCACAGTAACAATGGAACCTCTCTTTTGGCAGCAACATGGCCTTAGTTCAGCTTGAACCAATCCATCTCCTAATAACAGTATGTCAGTATCCTAGAAGAATAATACTGGATCAGCTACTTTCTTCACAGAAGTAACTGCTGCCACCCAGACAATCTAGACAGCTAAGGAAAAGTACTCAGTTTGACTGCAGAACTAGGAACTTATTAAACAGAAACCTAAATTGTCGTGCTGTTTTTGCACAGTCTGGTTCTTGGTAGCAGGGGCACCACAGAGGTGGCTTCTGTGAGAAGCTGCTTGAAGCTTCTACCATGTCCAGCAGAGCCATTCCCTGATGGCTCCAAAGATAGACATGCTGCTGGCCAAGGCTGAGCCAATCAGAGGTGGTGGTAATGCCACTGTGATAACATATTTAAGAAGAAATCTAAACAAACTTTGTGGTGCAGTTTTAATTCTAGCTGAGAAGAGGAGGAGGTGAGAACATGTGAGAAGAACAACTCTGCAGACACCAAGGTCATTAAAGAAAGAGGGGGAGGAGGTGCTCCAGGTGCTGGAGCCAAAATTCCTCTGCAGGCCATGGTGAGGACCATGGTGAAGCAGGCTGTCCCCCTGCAGCCCACAGGGGATGCAGAGATCCACCTGTAGCCCATGGGGGAGGAGCCCACACTGGAGCAGGTGGATGCCTAGAGGAGGATGTGGTCTAGTGGGAGATCTGTGGAGAGAGGGGTCCTATTCCCAGGCTGGAGCAGCCTGTCCTTAAAGGACTGCACCCTGTGGAAGAGTGACCCACACTGCAGCAGTTTGAGGCGTACTGGTGTCTGTGGGATGTACTCATGTTGCAGTAGTTTTGGAAGGACTGTTACTTGTGAGATGGAGCCACGTTGGAGAAGATCGTGGAGAACTGTCTCCTGTGGAAGGGACCCCACGGTGCAGCAGGGGAACGACTCCTCTCCCTGAGCAGTCAGAGAAAGCACAGGTAATAAACTGCCCAAACCCCCACTCCCTGCTTCCCTGTGCTGTCAGTGGGAAGGAGGGAGGGGTTGGAGTGGAAGGAAAGATATTTTGAAGGGCTTATTTTACTTCTCATTATCCTGCTCTGATTTTGTTAGCAATAAATTCACTTTATATCTCTAAGTTGAGCCTGTTTTGCCCTTGATGGTAATTGGTGAGTGTTTCCTCATGGTCCTTATCTCAACTCATGAACCCCTCACAATATTTTCTCTCCTCTGTCCAATTGCAGGGAAGGGTGAGTGAGCAGCTTTCATTGGTGCCCGGTGCCTGGCCAGTGCCAAACCACAACAATTGTCCTTAAGTTTAGCATGAGAAAAATCTAACTTTCCATTGACAGCTAAAGCAAAATGAAAAGAAAAGAAAAGAAAAGAAAAGAAAAGAAAAGAAAAGAAAAGAAAAGAAAAGAAAAGAAAAGAAAAGAAAAGAAAAGAAAAGAAAAGAAAAGAAAAGAAAAGAAAAGAAAAGAAAAGAAAAGAAAAGGAGATCCATTTCAGGTTAACCATAATTCTAAAAGGCTGCTATAAAATGAAGCAACATATGGACCAATGAAAGCAATCTAACTCACCTCTCATTTTATTCAGAGTGCATGGACACTACCAGCAGACTTCTTTTCACTACAGCAATACCAAAGTTTGACCTCTTACAAAAGAGTGGAAGTGGACTTTGCATTACCTTGCTTGTAAGTATACAGTGATGGCATTGTTCATTATTAATTGAAAGTGACACATAGCAGTGAGGTTAACACACCTTTCATGCGTCCAACACACTTGAATTCCAATATATGCTGTTATAGAAGTCTCCTGTTTGTCCAAGAACCATGTATTATGGGTTGACAAAACACTCCTGGCCCAGTGTGAAACAAAAATATTTTCTATGAGATTAATTTTAAGCTGTGAGGAAGTAAATAATTTTGAAGTCATTGCATGTACCTCAATTTGTCCTATAGATGGTGTATTGGTTTTGCACAGCCTAGTTTTTGGTAGCGGGGGGGAGGCACAGAGGTTGCTTCTGTGAGAAGCTGCTGGAAGCTTCCACCATGTCCAGCAGAGACAATCCCTGATGGCTCTAAAGATGGACATGCTGCTGGCCAAAACTGGGACAATTAGAGAGGGTGGTAATGCCTCTGTGATAACATATTTAAGAAGAAAATCAAAACAAAGTACACACAGTTTTTCTTCCAGTCAGAAAAGAGGAGGAGGTGAGAACACGCGAAGGAAAACAACATGGCGACACCAAGGTTAGTGAAGAAGGAGGGGAAGGAGGTGCTACAGGCACTGGAGCTGAGATTCCTCTGCAGGCCATGTTGAAGACTATGGTGAAGCAGGGTGTCCCCCTACGGCCCATGGAGGTCCACGGGGGATGCAGAGATCTACCCACAGCCCGTGGGGGAGGTGCCCATGCTGGAGCAGGTGGATGCCTGGGGGAGGCCGTGATCCAGTGGAAGACCCAGTGGAGAGAGGGGGCCCTTGCTTCCAGGCTGGAGCAGCCTGTCCTTGGAGGATTGCACCCCATGCAAAGAGAGATCCATGTTGCAGCAGTTTTGGGAGTACTATGTGCCCATGGGGGGAATTCATGTTGCAGCAGGTGCAGTAGGACTGCTGCTTGTGAGAGTGGACCCATGCCAGAGAAGTTCACAGAGAACTGTCTCCCATGGGAGGGCCCCCATGGCCTCACAGGGGAAGGACTCCTCTCCTAGAGCAACGGAAAAAAATCTTGGTGGTGAACTGACCAAAACTCGCATGCCCTGTCTCTCTGCGCTGTTGGTGGGTAGGAGGGAGGGGCTGGGAGGAAAAATGTGTTTAAAGGGCTTGCTTTACTTCTCATTATCCTCCTCAGATTCTGTTAGTAATAAATTCACTTTCAACCTTAAGTTGAGCCTGTTCTACCCTTGAAATGTTTTGTCCCAGTCCTTATCTCAACTCATGAACACTTTGTTCATTTTTTTTCTCTCCTCTGCCCAGCGTTGGCAGGGCAGAGTGAGCGACTGACTCTCATGGGTACCTGGCATTGGGACAGCTTCAAACAATGACAGATGGCCTGAAGAAAATTGGGGTATGAACCCAAGATGGACCTTGCAGACACAGAAAATTTGCTTCTTCTTACACTAGTCAAGCTGACTAAATTAGGAATGAGTCAATACCTATGTATGGTCTTTTACAAAGAAACAGAAATGGCAGCACTTTCTGAATTTTACAGAAGACAAGCTACCCAGGCACTTAAAAACTATCCACCTGTCTTTGAATATGTAATTATTCCTGGACCAAAACCAGTGCAGTAAAAGGTAATATTCTTCAATGGAGGCTGCAAAAACCCCCACAAAACTCTACTCTAGAGACAAGTCACAAGTATCCACTTATGAAGAGAGAAAGAGACCCAATATTTATAGTATCCAGCAGAGATCCCAGAAAAATTCTCAGTGTAAGCTGTATCACTTAAGGAAAGCCACATGGTGTTCTCTATATATGGGAAGAAACAGGAAGAGACATGGTATTTGCTTCTAAGTTCTACACGTTTGCAATAGACTAGCCCAAATACATTTGATGAGAGCAGCCTCAATTTGAAGGCAAAACTCCTGCAGAACACTGTTGGCAGGCATTTTCTTGAAGATTTTTCTTCATTAAAATCTTGAGTCACTATTGTTATGAATACTAAATGACAGGAAAATAAGCATGGAAGGTACTGTACTAAGTACACTAACATTAACTGAAACTCTGGGAAAGGAAGGATTCCCATATCTTCATTTCTGTCTCTAGTCACAGTGATAAGCAAGAGCCAATGACAAATCATCTGGAAGACACTGTTCAATGGGAGATTAACCTCAGTATATCAGATCAGTGTCAGATATTGGGCCTATTAGAAATCTAGGCTTGCCAAAAAAAAAAAAAAAAAAGTTATGCAAATGTAGAAAAGATGTGGCTTTGAAACCTTTAAATCCCCAGTAACATTTAGAACAAGTGTCAAGACCTCATTTTTGTCAGAAGGTTTTTTTGACCTGCACTAGCAACTGGTAGTGTTAAAGAAAGAACTATTTATTCAAATGATTTATGAATGCAGACTGGAGTTTTTGTACTCTGTGCCAGTCCAAAGGAGTCAGGTTCAGTAGCTTGCAACATTTTTAAAGAGACTCTGGAATGTTTTAACATGATTGAACTGGAGCAGTGAAATAAAACTGGGACAGCATAAAAGTACATATTTTCCAAAATGAATGCTGATTCCAAGTGATCAGCACAGGGAGTCTCCATTGATGCAGAAAACTATATATTTCAGAGAAGAAAGTACCTCAGTGAAATCTAATGTCAGTCTAATCACCTTTCTGAGAAGGTATTAGTTTCCTTAACATGTTACGTCTGCACTTTAAAGGACACTTATCTTAGCATGTGTAAGATTTTTCCAGTAATTAACACACACTACATAAGAGTCCCTGGATAAGCACAGTCCTCCCAGATGGCATGACAGGAGCATAATCATTAAAGGATATAAAGGGTTAACTATCACTTTGAGAGAACTTTTTCTCTTTCCCAAGATCTTAGATTAAATAAATTAACAAAATACAAGTAAATTCAAAGTTAAAGCTATTAAGTATAGCTATACTGACCTCTGTACTAGACTGTTAGAAAGTCTCCAACAACATGACTAAGAATCTATCAGATCCTTAATTGATATCATGCCCCAGTACCACAATAATTTTAAATATTCTTGTAATTTATATAAATACTAAAAACTTTTGTCACTAAAAGAAAAAATTGATAAGTACACTGAAGTGTGACAGTAATAAGACAACAAAATATTATTTTCAGCATAAAATGACAAGTAACTTACCTAACAACTCTTGTTCTCATTGTTGTATTAGCTGGCCACTTGCTTTGAACAGACTTCTGCAAGCATCCATAAATATATCTCAGTGTCCTGTAAAAATAATAACTGATGAATAATTTAATTAAAAAATTTTAATGAGTAAAAATAGCTGGTCAGAAAGCATCTAGTCCGATCTCCTCCAATTCAGACATAAGCTGTAAATTTATTTAAAATCTGCTGTAACAGTCCATTTACAAATGGCAAAGAAAGTCCTTGACTAATGCACTACTCTATTTGTGAAGGTAAAATTCTGATAAATCATGTATGTATTCTATGTTTTATAATACTTTTTTCCCTATTTCCCTAGGTAGCATTTCCATTTAAAAAAAAAAAAAAAAAGTTTGGTTTGGTGGCTTTTTTCCTCGATTTTTTTTCCACTTTTTAACTGAATGAATAATAATTTGTGCATCTATAACTAGAGGTCAGGTGTTTAAAAATAGTTACGCAATAGTCCTCTCCTATAAAAAAAATAGGAGCCCTCTGGTGTATTTCAGAAAATGTTGAGATGCACCATATACTTAACAGGATGAAGCTTTTAATACTGACTGTGCTGGTTTTGTGTTAATTGATCCGTGCTCAAGAGGGAAAAAGTCAGCTACAGAAGTGATTCTCTGTGAAGAACTGCTAGCAGTTTCCTCTGTGCCTGGCAAAACCAATCGCTGGCTAGCTCTGAGAACTGGCACACTGCTAAGCCAATTAGAAAAGCTGGAAACGCCTCTATGATGACATATTTAAGAACAAAAAAAAAAAAATGCAGGAAGTGCTCTTGCTCCCTGCTCTCTAAAGAAAGGTGGGGGGCAAGCCAGGGTCCCTTCCCAGCAGGGGTCGCTGGACCATGCTGCTAGGGGCCATCCCAGCGCCGCAAGCAACCATGGGGCTGGGGCAGTGCCATGCGGCTGCGGCTCTCTCGGCATGGCTCACAATGGACTTTATTAGCCGCTTTTAACCAGCCGTGCTGCGGACAGAAAGACAAAAGCAGCGGCAGCAGCTTTTCTTTTTTCAGTGTCCCGCATGAAGAAAAGGTGTGTAATGGAGCTGGCAGCCAGCGAGACTTGCCCAGTGCATGTGGAGACCATGTGACCAATAGAGAGAGAAACATAGTGAGCAATTCCCTGATTGTGGAGCCTAGACAAGATCAACCTTTCAGTGCTGCAGAGCTCTATAAAAACTGTTTCAATTGATAGAACTTGAGAACAAACGAACCTACAGATACCAATTCTCCCCCGAGTCAGAGAAAAGGAAAAAGTGAGGACATGTGAGGAGAAAAATATGGTGACACTAAGATCGGTGCAAAAGAGGGAGGGGGAGGAGGAGGTGCTCTGAGCATCGGGGCTGAGATTCTTCTGCAAGCCATGATATGGGCTATAATAGAACAGTTTCCCTGTAATTCATGAAGTGCATGGGGGGGATGCAGCATTCACCCGCAACCCACAAGACAAAGGCACTCGTGCTGGAGCGTCTGGATGCTGAAAAGCTGTGATCTGGTGAGAGGCTTGAACAGAGAGAAAGAAAACCCTTACTTTCAAGAGATTAAGGAAGAGGACTCTTGCTTTTATACTCTAGAACAGCTCATCTTTAAAAGCTGCACCCCATAACTAAATGGCCCATGAAAATCAGTTGTGGGAAGACTGCAAGCCATGGGAGGGACTTCATGTTGCAAGCAAGTTCCAGGTGGACTGTTAGCCGTGAAAAATAAAACCACCTTGAGAAAGTTCACAGAAATCTGTTTCCCATAGGAAAGACCCCATGGCATAGCAAAAGAGACTCCTCTCCTTAAGCAAAGTGAAAAAAGATCTTAAGAAGTGGCAAACTAACTTAAATTCCCATATTTTGTCTCCCTGCACTGTCGGTGGGAAAGAAAGAAGGGCTGGGGTGGGGGGTAAGGTATTCTAAAGGTTTATTTTTGCTTCTCATTATCCTCTTCTAATTCTGTTAATAAATTTTTCTTTATATGTTTTAAAGTCTTGAGCCTGTTCTGCCCTTAAAGTGTTTTCTCCTAATCTTTATCTCACCCCATGAGTTTTCTTTCCCCCTCCTCTGTTAACTATAGCAGAGGAAAATGAGTAAATTATATTCATGGGTGCACTGGCATTTGGCCAGCATCAACCCATCACACTAACCTTGCTATCAATGACACAAAAGAACTTCCTGTGCTGTTCTGTGGTGGGTTGACCATGGCCAGCAGCTAAGCTCCCACCCAGTCACATGATTGTTGGAACTCAAAATGTCCCTCAGACATTTTTGGAGGTTCCAGGCCTTGGTCAGAAGCATTTTAGACCCTGGCAAGCAGCTGAAAACAGCTGTGATTTGAGTTTGAGCCATGGAATGAGTTACCAACTTTGAAGGTGGAACAAGTAGTCACAAAGGGTTAGATGGTATAGTAGAAGTAGTTACAAACTAGAGGGGAAAATTTTTTAGTATTGTACAGGGGGGGTTTAGCACCTGTACAGGGGGGTTTTTACTTTGTACATGGGGGTCAGAAGTTCTAAGATGGAGGAAAGTGGGCTGATCCTGTTCTTCCTCACCTCCATGTTCTTGGTGATGCTGGCACTTATGGATTGGTTTAGAGTAGAAAAGCACCTTGTAACATAGGTAGTAGGTATTGGGGAAAAACTGTAAACATGGAACACGTAATGTATCATATAAAAGATAGCAGCAGCCCTGGGCGGGGAGAGAGAAGAAGTAGACACCAGAGAGAGAGGGTGTCAGGGGTGTGTGTGTGTCTCTGCCTGGGCTGCTGACCAAACAGCCGCAGCCCGCTAAGACAATCTTTTAGATAACTAGCAATAAACTGCCTTGAGACCGAACAACAAGAGGCTGTGGAGTTTTTCTTTGGAAGCAAAGGTTGGAGGAGAAACTTTACCACCACACAGGACCCCTGAACCAGGCCAGGGGTTCCCACACATGCTCACTTCCCATCAGCAGGATAGGGGAGAAAACAATAAAATCACATGTTATAGATGAGTAATGAGAGACTTGGCTCTCACAATTAAGGGGTGAACATTATATGTATGTCAAGAGAAGTTTTATAGATGTATAGTTATGTTACTGCAAAGTGCTCCCCCACCCAGCATTGTTATCCTGGGATGATCTTGGTAGTCTGGGCACTTGGGGGAAGGGGCAGGCTGGTTACTAAGAGGCATGGCATGACAACACTTGACCTCCAAACAAGTTACAAGAAAGCAGTCTACACCAATGGACAGTGACAAAGAGTTAACAGAAAAACTTTGGGAGGGGCTAGGGTTACCTGTTGCAACACCAAGGTTATAAAAGGTGGAGCAACCATTTTGTGGATGAGTCAGCCACATGGTTACGAACCATGTGGGGGGGATGCTCCCAGTGCTGAATTTTTTCCTTATTTAGTCCTTTTGTTGTAATTTTTGTTAAGGTTTAATAAACCTTTTAAAGTTTTAAAAAGTAGGCAGTTGTTTATCACAATGGGGACTCATCCGGGATATAAAGCCTCTTCTCCAGTGGCCCAGGAGATTTCAGACTAATTGCGTCCCTGTTGATTTTGGCAGATTGAACAACCTCTCTCTAGACCATCAGTGATTGCAGGTAGACCCAGAGACAGTGAAGGACTATATAACGAAAAATAAGGAGAAGGATCTAGAAGACTGTGAGTATAAGCGTGTGTATGCTTGAAGTGTGAGTGGGGTAGTTCTGGAGTGTGCTTAGGGTAAATACGAAAAGTAGAAGATCCTCATAATTATTTTGGCCAGAATATAGTTCCGTAATTCCAGTATATGAACGTGAGCTTCACATTAGTAATATACGGATCGGTCCTGATCAGTAGAAGCTTCAGGACAATGGACGGTTGGAAGCAGGGTGGGATGTGTAAGAGAAGAAGGAGGGGGCCCTGTCACTGGGGGGATGCCTGTGGAAGAAAGGCAGAAACGTGGCAGGTGGGACGTGTAAAAGACAAAAGCAGAGACCCCCTGCCCAGCAGGGCGCATGAAACTGAAAGATTTGTAAGCGCTCAAGAGCACTTGGAGGTTGCCAAGTTGAGAGCAACAGTGTTAGAGTGATGGCGAAAGGCGTCATTCAGTAGAAATGGCGCTCGTGTCAGGACGGGTAGTTGAGGTAACTTTCCCAGCCCACGGGTAGCAGAGGGGGAAGGACCATGCAGCTGCCCCACGTGGAGCATTGGTGCACTGAGTGCAGTGAACTTCTAGTGTGCAATCAGCACAATACCTTCCATAGCTTGCCAGCCGAAGCTCAAGAGGGACAAGTTAATGTCAGCGTCTGGGAAGCACTGCATGCCTAGCCGTGGTGACTTAGTAATGCCAAGTGGTAGCACCTGGCAGAGTACCCAGAGACCGCGGGAGGGCTGGCGCGGGCAGGGCTGCCAGTTAGAAAAAAAACAGGTGCGCAGGGATTCCTGAGCAGGGACCATGGGGGAGGAGGCAGACAGGGTCTCCCCGACCCACTAGCAGAAAAAGAAGAGAGGAAGAAGCTGGTGGGGGGGTGAGTCTGCATAGAGTCGTGTTCACGGCTGTGCTTGGTGGGACGGGTTTCATGAGATCAGGGCGCTGTGTGGCTCAGAAGTGGAGGAAGACCATGGGCAGAGGGGAGGCTACCAGCAGTGACTATTAAGCAGACTATTTTGCTTTCACTGAGTGTGTGGGGTTTCTGAGCTAGGGACTGCGTGAGCCCGCGTGGCCGGTGGCGGGCCAGGGGAGGCACCTGGCATGGAGACTTTCGGTGGCACCAACCTGACTGGGGTTGGCCACGATGGTCAGGGGAGTTGGAACCCAGAACCGCCGGTCCACCAATAGGGGGCTACTAGCAGCGAGGGCTGTGCTTGTGGACCCGGGGAGTTTGGAGGTGTGGGGCCACTGGCAGCAAGAGCCGCGTGCAGCGAGGGCCTTTGGGCTTGGTGCTGCCAAGTGTCAGGGTGTTGAAACCAAGAGCCACTGGTCCACCAGTGCAGGGCTGCTGGTGGTGAAGGCTGTGCTTGTGGACCGGGGAAGTTGGGCGGCAGGAGCCGCAGGCAGTGGAGGCCTTTGCGCCTGGTGCTGCCAGGGGTTGAGAGCTGTCTGTTGTACGGG